GTTTTTCAAAAAGCTCACTCGTGCAAATTAATTCCAAATTGAACGAGAAAAACCGTATGATTACCTATACTAACAGAATAAAAAAATTAATTAAATAACGCTATTTAGACAACACTAGAACAAAAATAAACCTTATTCGAAAGTGCAAGGCTGACCGCTGAATGTCACAAGTTCCTTAACCGTCTCTTTTTATAAACGTTCTAACGATGAACCTTCGCGTACTACGCTCGCACCCAATTCTTTTATTTCAATAGGCCATTTCCGTGTCAAAACGAGTCTCCGTGCGAAACTGTTGTAATGAAAATGCGTTTCGTCTGTAAGTTCATTTTCATAAATCGCACGAGGTCTCGTTTTGAAACAGAGGCATGACAAAAGGCAACTAGCGCATATCACAACTCACATAGTGTTTGATTGAACTTCCGCCGGAACTCCCACATTAACGATATGATATACCAAGTACAGTAAGAACTTCTCTTCATACAAAACTGAAATTATTAAGAGTGAATAAGCAGTACTCATCGAAGGAAGAAAAAGAGGAAATCTTATCATTTCCAGAGCGAATTTTGACCTAATCTCGGATCTAGATCCCTCACGACCGAGCGTCAAACAGGGTGAAACCTGGGAAAGAAACTAATTTTGACCGTAATACACGAGTCACAATAAAGAGGATCAGATCAAAGTTTTTCCTCTCCTCTCAGGAGTATGATATATTGAATTGAATTTTCAATCAACATCGTCCTTGGTGTCGCCAGAGTGGCTGGGTGAACTAACTAGCTAACATCGCAATACGTCGACCTCATGCAGTCAGTAAAAGCAAGTTACATGCCACGAACTTCAAGACAAGCGAGCAAAATATGAGCTAAAAATTCAAATGATCACCACATCACAAAAGGACTCTGTAGTAACCCATTAATTTATTCATATGGCTTAATTATTTTGCATCAAGCAGTTAAATATATTTAATTCTGGCAATTATCTTATATAGTTTCTCTTTTTATTGCACAGTGCACATAAATCACAATAATAATCATAAATAAACCCGAGTGTGTAGAGACCAAAACTTTTCTTTATCAATCGCGGGAAAACGTGCGCATGCATTCCGTAATAAGAGCGGGAAAATCCTCGAGCCAAATCACGCTTGATCTTTGATTGGCCAAAATGAATACGTCCTCGCTCTTATTGATCAGCTCCACTTTATACACTACACACGCGCGCCTTCCTTTTGCCAAGACTAGTCCACATCCTAACGCCATTTTCCCAACGCTCAATTTCACGCCGTTTTTTCAATTTTGTTCCTAGGGCTTGTCCGTTGATGAAGTCATCGTTTTGTGGGTAATAACAATAATGACTTCATGTAATAATGACTTTACTATCGTGTCAATTACAGCTAGCAGTGGAGAATCCCCACTGCTAATAGG